TCTATCATGTAAAAATATTTCTAAAAATATTTGTATTTTAAAGTTTTGTTGTTCATTTGTTTTATAATCATATTAAAAAGAATATGAATTATGAAAAAAATATGCTATTATTATATTAATTATTAAATATTATTGATATGAATAATATATAATATAAAATAATAATAACTATTCATTACATTTTACATTTTATACTATAATAAAAAAAATCTGGCAACAATGTCAGGTCGATATAAACATAACCTAGTCAATCATAACTCAATCTCTCACGATTTATAAAATATTTGTTTATTGTAATATGTTGTCTTCAAAATATAAGGGATGGAGTTTATAAGAATACAATTAGGTGAATAATTATTACATAATATAATATATAAATTTTAATTATGTAATATCTTAATAGAATAGTTAAATTTATTAAATATTTATATTTAATATTTTTTTATTTTTATATATAATACAATACTTAATAAATGTAAATTAAAACTTTTGACAAAATAAATATTTTGTTTTTTTTTTTAAATTTTTTATAAAAATATAATATTTAATATTATATAATCTTAAATATATAATCAAAATCTTAAATAATCTATGTTACTATAATACTATATATATATATATATTAAATAGAATTTTATAGTTTTTTTGTATTATTAAAAATAAATATATTAAAATTAATTAACAATATTACGCATTATAATATTATTATATTTCTAGTTCTAAGAAAATGATAAAATCAATATATATATCCTTAAGATGGAATAAAATTTACTATATTTTTTAAATATATATTACCTAAAAAAATTATAATATTATTTTTTAATTATATATAAATTAGTAAATTATAATAAATTAATATTTGTAATTTTAAAAACAATTTTATTTATATATTTCATTTCTATTTAATATTTACTTAACCTCTTTTGTTTAATATTAGAATTTCTTTTACACTTTTAGTTTTCTGCCTATTTTTAAAATTTGCATTTATGAGAAATTTAAACTTGTTTTATTTTTATATTTATTTAAAATCAATATAAATGTTTCAAATATAAGTATTACATCAAATTTTTCCAATATTTTATATACAATGTTATTTTAATTCCTGTTATTATATTATTCATTTACTATATTATTTATTTATTTAAATTATTATTTATATTATATTTAAATAAATTTTCTAGAAAAACATTTATCATAATGCTCTATACATTACACTAAAAAATAAGTAAAATACACATCTTACATTAAAATTCACATACTTAAAAAAAACGGCGTTGCCAAAGTAAACACTATGGTTCATATTTAATGTAAATATGTATATTTTATTATATTTCATACTTTCGAAGCAAAATATCTAAGTTGATTTAATAAAATTTATTAAAGTATATATATATATATATAAAATAATATATTTATTAATTCTTTAAGATAATAATATATATCAATATTTCAGATTAATTTCGCATAAATGAAAATTCATCTGATTAGAATTATGACAGTGGAAAAGTGTTAGTTGCTGCATGTTACCTACCCTGTATGTATGTATATACTTCAGTCCTTTATTATACACTATTCTCGGAAAGTTTTGTTTTCTTTCATAAATTCTTGACTGTAACAGAAAAGAAAACATTGTCATGCCGTTGCAAGTTCACGATGTTCAGGTAATTTTTTAGAATAACTTGCAATAATTGCTACAAATAGAAAATTTCATGCACATCAAAGTCATGACAAATTCAAATGTTCATTTTTGTGCATTTTTTTCTTATATTGTAATTATTATGTTGATCCAATCTTTGATCAATATCTTTCTTAAATCTTTTAATCTTTATATTTTTAATTTTCTTAACTTAGAATATTGCAATTTACAAATCTTTTTATTCAAATTATATTTTAAAATATTTTTTATTTATATTTTTTATATATAGCAAAATGTTGTGGAGCCTATGCAAGTTGATGCTCCTGCAGAAGATAATGATAATGCAGAAGAAGAACCATATATTGTGGAAAACCCAACATTGGTATATCTAATTTTCTATTGAATTTTTTATTTTTGATAGTTGTTAATAATTTTGTATAATTCTGATTTTATAATGTAAGTATATGTCAAAATATTTTATTTTGATTTTTTTCAGGATTTAGAAGTTTATGCTAATAGTTATACTGGTCTTGCTAAACTATATAGACTTATATATATAGCTGATCACTGTCCAATGTTAAGGATAGAAGCATTAAAAATGGCTATATCTTATGTGATGACAACATATAATGTTTCCTTATATGTCATACTACATAAAAAATTAGTTCAAGCTGTAGGTACACCTGGATTACCAGATGTTGCAGCACAATCAACATCTCAAGATATGTTAACCTTAGATCAAGCTTGGGTTGAATTTCGTTCTAAAAAGGCTGCTTTGAAACTAGAAAAATTTGATACTGATCTTAAAAATTATAGAAGTAATTCAATTAAAGAAAGTATTAGAAGAGGTCACGATGATTTAGGAGATCATTATTTAGATTGTGGGGATCTTGTTCATGCCTTAAAGTGTTATTCCAGAGCAAGGGATTACTGTACTAGTGGGAAGCATATTGTTAACATGTGCTTAAATGTTATTAAAGTTTCTGTTTATTTACAAAATTGGGCTCATGTATTAAGTTATGTAACAAAGGCAGAAAGTACACCAGACTTTTCTGATGTCCATGGCAAAGACAACAATCAATCTATAGTTACAAAATTAAAAGTTGCAGCTGGTCTAGCGGAACTAGCTACTAGAAAATATAAAATGGCTGCAAGACACTTTTTGCAGGCATCATTGGATCATTGTGATTGTCCTGAATTATTATCCCCTGGAAATGTTGCCTTATATGGAGGACTTTGTGCTTTAGCTACATTTGACAGACATGAATTACAAAAACAGGTTATCTTCAGCAGTTCCTTTAAGTTATTTCTAGAATTAGAACCACAATTAAGAGATATAATTTTTAAATTTTATGAATCAAAATATGCTTCTTGTTTAAAATTGTTGGACGAGATAAAGGATAACATACTTCTAGATATGTACATAGCACCACATGTTAATGTATTATATACACAAATTCGGAATAGAGCATTGATACAATATTTTAGTCCATACTTAAGTGCAGATATGAGACGTATGGCAACTGCTTTTAATAGGACTGTATCAGAATTGGAAGATGAGCTTATGCAATTAATTCTCGATGGCCAAATACAAGCTCGTATAGATTCACATAATAAAGTAAAGTTATCATTATCATCATTTAATATATTTATAAAAGAATAATTTTTAATTTAATTTATTGTATATGTTTAGATATTGTATGCCAAGGATGTCGATCAACGTAGCACAACTTTCGAGAAATCTATGAGTGTAGGAAAAGAATATCAAAGACGCACACGCATGTTAATCTTAAGGGCTGCAATGTTAAAACAACAGATTCAAGTTAAAGTAATTATATATATTATTTTTAGAATTTGATAAAATGAAAAATAAACAATATTAATATTATAAAAATTTGTTTTTATTTTTAATATTTTTATAGAGTCCACAGCGTGATAGTACTCAAGGGGGAGAGATGTCGGTTACCTGGAAACAATAGTTCAGTGGTAAGAAATTGAACTATGATTTATACTAATCTTTTAATTGATAATTATATTTATATAGATGACCTGATGTGGTTATTAAGATATGAAATAGTACTTTGATACCATATTGGGCAATGAATGTTTATGATGCTGATATTGAATTCAAATCTTCGATAAAAGTTACAAAATATGTATATAATGCATTATACTATAAGTAAAAGCTAGTATTTTCAAAAATGTGTTTATTATGAACAAACCTTTGATAAAATATAATGTATACTAAAAACTTTATTATCAATAAATACACGAATACCTTTTTTTAGGCATGAATATTTTCTTTTTCATGTTGTTCATTTTATCTAATAATCATAAATATCAAAAAATTAATAATAATAATAATAAACATACTTATTTTTACATATTAATTATTATATTAAAAATAGTTAATTATAAATATTATATAATTAATTAATTATAAATTAAATTAATAATAATAAATTAATTAATTACAAATTAATTAATTAATAATTAATTAATTATAAATTAATTAATAATTATAATTTAATAAGTTAATTATAAATATATATAATTATTAATAAATATATTAAAAAATAGTTAAAACATACGAAAAATATTTACTTTTTCAAAGAAATTTTATGTTTTTAATTTTACGGTTTTATAAATAAATATACTTAAAATTATTTAATATATAATTTATTCACAATATTGAAATATAAACTCTATATAAAAAAATACATAATTAAAAATAGTGAAATTCTATTAAAATTAATTAATAAAAAAATAAAATAATTATATTCTTTTATTAATTTTTTACAAAAAATAAATTTTATTTTAATTTAAATTCTTAATCATTATAAACATAAATTATTTTGGATTTTTTGTCCATGTGTGAAATTAATTAAATTAAAAAAAAAAAAGATATTAATTTTTTTACATTAGAAAAGCTTAATTATACAAATTATATATAATTTATGTTATATAGAGTTTGTAATTGATATATCGATAGAAATCCATTAATGATTTTCTTCTTGAATCTGAAAAAGTATTTTTATTATATTAATCAACTTTTAGAAAAAAAAAAAAAGGTAAAATTAATTATAATATATATATATATATATATGCAATTTTTTTGTCTTTATTGACTTTATTATAGTAAGATCATAAATGATAACATTTCTCAAATATGCATCCTATTATATAAAATTTCAATTTTTGATCTATTAAATTATTTTTATACATAATGAAATATGATTTTCAAATTCAAATTTTTTAGATTTATATATTTTTAAAAATAAATCATTAAATAAATAAAATTAAATTATACCTTTATTATAATTTTCAATTTAATTCAAATTATATTTTATACTTATAAAATTCAATTCTATAAATATAAATATCTGCTTATATTGTGTGTGCAATAATTTTTTGTGCAGTAGATTATAACAAATGAAATTATTACAAATTAATAAATGCATTAATTTATATACCTTTATGCCTAAATTTATATACCTTTAATATAATTAAAACACTGTATGTGGCAAGAATTCCCAAACCAAATGCTAAAAGATGTGGAAAATATTTAATTCCAGGTATGTCAGGCCGTTTTGCCATTAGAATTTGTAAGAAAGATAAATTTTTATCAGAATATGGTGGATAACGGCCTCTGCAAAAAATTATAATAAAAATTATTTTACATATTTACTTTTGTATTAAATTATATAAAATATAATTTTAAAAAATAATATTTACGATGCCAATGCTTCTTCTAGTTTATTAAAATATTTAATAAGACAACCTTTTTTGTGTACAAAGGTATCATAAGTATATTTTCCATGATAACATCCCATACCAGAATTGCCAACACCACCAAATGGTATACTGTCAACTAAAATATATATATATATTTATTTGTAAAATTTAGAATTATATCTAAATAAAATGCACTATATTAAAACAAAAGATAAAAAAGATATTTCATGTAAATTTCATGTAGTGTGGATATAGGAAATTATGTATGTTTCACTAGATTAAATTTAATTATTATATATATAATAAAATTATATATATAATTATTTAAATTATAAAATTTTTCAGAAAAAACAATTTTTTGTAAAATTTTTGTGATTTGCTAATTAAATTTCTAGTTAATATATGCTTTTGTTTAACTTTGCATAAACAAAATACAATTTATAATATGCAAAATAATGTATATTTCGATTTATATCTATAAACAGTAAGTATAATTTTGCTAGACAAAATTAAATGTTTTATTTTTCTTATCTTATGTTTTATAAAATAAGATTATGTAAATTAATCTTATTTTATGCTTTGCTATAACACAATTAAAATTTCAAAATATAATATATTAAGTGCACTTATACATCAATATATACAAAAATAATTAAGCTTAAACATATAAAGAATACAAGAATTTTGTTACTATACATATATTATATATATAGTAACAAAATTCTTGTTTAATATATATATATATAATAAGTTCTGATGATATAATTAAATTATTTTATCTAGTAATGACATTTTTAATATTGAAATGACATGTTAAAATTGTATAATTTATAATCATAAGAAGTAGAATTTTTAATTAGAAGAATTTTATTAACTAATTTTTAATTTTAATTTATTTCATTTATAATAATCATTTATTTCATTCAATAATAGTTTTCATCTATTTTTTTATTAAATTAGATTTAATATTCTAATTATTCTATAAATAATATAAAATATTCTAAATATTTTAAAGAATTTCAATTTTTTTTATATTGTATTCTCTGCATATTTTTTACTATATTTGACAGTACTGAATGATATTTAATTTTGCATCTTTATATATGTACATCATATGATATATATGTAATTATTTATTTCAATCGAAACATCTATAATTTCCCGTTTTATTAATTTTACAATCTTGCTAAATCACCAGGATCTAATACTATATACATATATTATTAATAAATTTTATCAATGTTAATAAGATAACACAAAAAATCCAATACCTGTTGCATGCATTATTACATCATTAACACAAGCATTACCACTACTTGTATTGTTGAGAAATATTGATATAGTATTTTCATCAGTGCTAAATATGTATAATGCTAATGGCTTCTCCCTGCATGAATATTAAGCAATTATTATTCAAAATAATATGCTAACTTAACATGAACAGGAGAATTAGCCTATTTGAATTACTGATATTACAAAAATGATCAATACAAAAATGATAAAGAATTATAAAAAATTATAAATAGCAAATTAATTGTTATAAGTTATAATAATCTTAAGTAATATTTTTATTTAAAAAAATTTTTATTTTCAGAACCAAATAAGAATAATTAAAAAAAATTAAAAATATTACATAACAATTATAAAGACTTTAAATAAAAACTATTAGAATATATTTGACATAATATGATAATTTAAAAATTTTCCTTATGCAAGCAAATTCGTGAATCTTATTTATAATCTAAATTTATATAAATAAAAAGAGAGAGAGAGAGATTTGTATTTTTATAAAGTTTTTTATCAAGTTGTATGTAATTATTTATGCATTGTAAATATTCTAGATTACTATAATTTTCACCCATCACCAACACATCAAAAAATTTAATAATATAATTAATATTAATAAATTTATAATATAAAATTTTTAATTTTCAATTAATGTACAATATAATAACAGTATATAAAATTTAAAAATGCAATAAAAAACCATCTTAAATTAGTTTCAAAAAAGTTAATAAAATTAATATTTTCCAAAAATTAGTTAAATTAAATAATTATTTAAAAGCTTTAAATAGGTAATATTACTTATTTGATAGTACCATACTTATAAAATAAAAAAATTTTCTAATAGCCACAACTCACCACAATATTGCATTATTGTATCATTTACTCCTACGCTTCCACTACGAGTTTGATTTATTATTAAATCCTGAACTCCCCTGTCCTTGGAAAATATATATATTACGAGTGGGGATTCACTAAACGTGAAAATAAATTGCTTGATGTTTAATATATTCTTGTTGTTTGTTATTTTTTAAATAAATGTAAAATTTTATCAATATTTGATATTATCAAAAATTGTTAACATACATACAACTTTTATAAATAATTTTATAATTAATTGAAGTTTATGGTTATAAAAATTTGTTTGCATTTTTATTAAAATATTTATGAAAAAATAAATACATAAAAGATTTACCGATTATTTATAAATTTAATTGCTTCATAAGCATTATTCACATTTATAATTGGTAATATTGGACCAAATATTTCATCTTGCATCACAGGATCCGTAGATTTGATATCAACAAGAATAGTTGGAGAGATATATTTTTCATTAGGATCACAGTCACCACCTATCACTATTCTACCATTATTTAAATACTTGATAAGACGCCTATATAAAAATATAATATATATTTCATTATAATTAATTTCATAATATAATATATAAAAAATAATTATAAAATATTTATAAAAAGCAGCAGCTAAAAATTTATCTTACTGATAATGATGTTCATTAATTATACGTGATAAATCTGGACTTTCTTTTGGATTATTACCATACCAATCTTTTAGAATTTCTCTTGCCTTTGTTACAAATTTATTTTGAATTTCTTCAGAACAAAGTATATAATCAGGTGCAATACATGTTTGTCCAGCATTAACACATTTGCCCCAAAGTACTCTTTTCACAGTTATGTCCATATCTACTGTATTATCTATATATACAGGGCTATAAATTGTTTCAGGATTGTAAATGTTTATATCACAAAATAAGAAAATAAAAAATAAAATATAGAAAATAAGATTAGTAGATTATTATACTTTTTACCTTTTACCACCAAGTTCTAATGTTATCGGCGTTAAAAATTTATTTGCTGCTTGATGAATGATTTTTCCAACACTAGATGAACCTGTATAAAATATATAATCGAATCTTTGCTTAAGTAATTCTGTTGTTTCAGAAATACCTCCTAATATTACATGAATACATTCCTAGAATATATATTAATATATATTATTATTTTATATAATATTATTATATAATATTATTTTAAAATATGAATGAAAAGATAAAATAATATTTTTTTTGTAATTATTTTAGAATGAATTTTTGTAAAATTTATTTGAAACACATACTTGATCTAAATATTTTGGAATAATATCTGCAATAAGTTTTGCTGTAGCAGAGGATATTTCTGATGGTTTAACAATAATACAATTTCCAGCAGCTAATGCACCTGCTAAAGGAGCCATAATTAATTGGAAAGGATAATTCCATGGTCCCATAATAAGAACCACACCATATGGATCTTTCTTAATTTCAACTCTGTCCATTATGTTAACTATATCTTTTGGAGGCTTAAAGATATAAACAATTAAATATTATATTCATCTATTTAAATTTATAAATATATTTATAAATATACAAATATATATATAATAGTATATAAAAATTAACAAAAAATTATAAAATATTAAAAATACTTTTTCATCAGCTGACCATTCCTTAAGAGACATGAGCAAATGTTTGATTTCTCCTTCAACAATATTTATTTCCATAATAACAGATTCAAATTTAGACTGAAAGAAAAATATATAAATCTGTAAATATAAAAATAAAGTAAATTTATATAATTATTATATATATAAACCTTGCGTAAATCAGAAGCAAGAGCAGATATAATTTCTTGTTTACATTCTTGTATCATAAGTAGTGTTTGTTTTAATTGTGTTTGTTTCCATTTTAATGATCTTGTTTTACCATTAATAAATACATTTCGTGTACGTTCAACAAGCTGTAAAGAAATTTTTTAAATACATAATAAAAAATATTAATTTTTTTGTATTATTTCAAAAATTTTAACATTAAGATTTTTATTTTCATTAACAATATGAAATAAAATAAAGAATCAATATACTTACACTTGCATAATCCATTATCATTTTTTCATTAGATTCTGCTAAAATAAAAAAATATAAATAATTATTATTATAATATTAAACTTATATATAACAATTATTATTAACAATTATAATTATAATTATAATTATATAATATATATTATAACAATTATTGTTTTGAAAGGTCAAAAATATTTTATTATTATTTATTATTTTTTTTTTCGTGTTACTATCATATTTTCCAATAAAAGATTATTTTATCAAAGTTATTTCATTTTTATGTAAATTTATGTAAATAATTATGTATATTTATGTAAATAATTATTTTAATTCTATATAGACTTCTAAACACATTAATTTCACTAATTTACACTATAATGATTGGATTAAAATTAAAATTCATATCGAGTTTAGGTTTGGAAGTTTCGATTAAATTAAATGCAATTGAATCAACGTTTAATTAATATTTCTAACTATCAATATCAACATTAATTATTATATTTATTATTTAAGATTTAATAAAAATTCAATTTGTTATAATTTTAAAAATAAAGAAGAAAGATCACATGTGATTAAAAAGATAATTTTAAAAGACAAGATTAATTACATATGAAGTTTTATCATAGCTTAGAATATGATTTCATTGACTATGGTTCCACTCGAACAACAGAATATTGTACTAAATGATATTTGTTCAATAAAACAAATTATTGAAAAACAAATTAATTACATGAGAGATGTAATTTAATTTATTAATTTTGCATTATTTTGTATCATGATTTATATTTATTTCTAAAAAAGCTATTTTGATTGAATTTTTTTATTTTAATTTAAAAGATTCTATTTTTTTTTTTTATAAAGAAAATTTATATCTAAAAGAATTGTAAATTGAATTCATTTAAATTTAAATTCTTATATGATTTTATTTATTTTCTTTATTGTAATATACATAACACATAATATACATAAGTTTTTTATTTAAATTTCAACCAATATTTCTAAAAAATTGATATTTTCAAATTGTATTTATTGAATATTATTAGAAAGTATAAAAATCATCTCAAAAAGAAATTTAATTAATAAATATTATGATTATAAGAAATAAAAGTAATATTTATTTACGATGATTATCAAATGATTGACTTGATTTCATATTATATTGTAAAGAATTAAAAATTTATTTATTATAACAATCAACAATATCTACATGCTTAATAACATAAAAATTTGAAATAGTAAAAGCAATTAACTATCTTAATAAAAGATAGTAACTATCTTAAAATAAAAAATACAAAAAGATGTTTGAAATTTTAAATTTAAATTATATTATTTCAAAAAGACATCTTTAAAAGTAAGAATAGTCATCATAATTAGATTATATATTTACAATATTTTCTGAAAGATAATAAAATAAGAAATGTATCTTTGAAGGATACATTTATTGTTATAAAATATTGTTATCTATAAAATATAATTTTCTGGTTTAGTGTTTTTGTAATATACTGTACATAAAACTGAATCGATAAAGAAGATTGTAGAAAAATATTTCTTTAGTTTCTTTGAAAGATGTCAGCACTATAACTATTTGAAAAAAAATTATAGCAAAACGATACTTTTTGTATGTAAGTCATTCCTAAGATTTTTTATGTATAAAATTGTTATGAAATGTTAATGAAAAAATATTTTGATTGGTTAATTATATGATATATTAATTATTACGACAAAATAATTAGATAAAATCAAACAGATAAAATCAAATTATATTTTTCCATTCCTATTTATGAATTAGTAACAAAATAATATTTATGTAACTATATAAATACTTAGTATGTATTTATACATAATTTAAAAGTAAAAAAAAAATGGAAATCAATCAATCACTTTAAAAATAATTAATTAACAAAATTTTTTCAAAACTGGTGCAATTAAATATGTATTATATGTTATAAACATATTCTGTGTGCAAATGGTGCGCATATTTTTTCGTAAAGTTCCTACCATCAATCTTATTGTAAATCTTTGTTGATGGTTCTACATTAATTTTTACGTAGTTCATATTGTTGTTTTGTCTTTTCTCGAAGATTTATCTCTGTTTTCTATCTTAGCAGAAAGGATAATAATTCTAAAAATTGTAAAGAGATATATAAAAAATTTTAATACATTAATTTTTTAAAATCCTCAGTATTTAATTGTTATTTTATTATTATTATTATCATTATCAGCATTTGAATTAAAAAAAAAATACGAAAATGATTTATTTATTTGTTGTGATTAAAAAAAACATTTTCACTATATTTTATAATTTTCACTAATGTAACGTAAATTTAGATATATAATTATTTTTTTAAATATATATTTTATGCTAATCAAAATAAAATTAAATAAATGATTTTATTTTTTGGAAAAAGGAAAAGATAAATAAATATAAAAAAAAAAAATAAAATAAAGATTCTATATTATTCAAAAACAGAACATATTTATGATTCATATGATTCATTGTTTTTTAGAAATATTTCTATTACATATTCATTTGAACATTATTTATATCTTTTTATATAATATAAAATAATTAAAAAATAATTAATAAAATAAATGATCAATTCTAATTTAAATCCATAAATCCATAAATCCATAAATATTTGTGATAGCTTTTCCATATATATAAAAATACAAGAATGATCTTTCAAAATTTACCTTTTACTTGTAATCGAATGATATACCTTATATACACGTACAAACACACACTTTATTTAAGAAAGTTATTTTATTTATATTCGTTAAATTTATTTATATTCGTCGTTTTTTGTCACTAAATGATTATTATATTGGTTGCATATGATAATTTATTCTGAGTACTTAGATATATTAACTTCTATTAACGCAATTGTACGGCATACTCATTTCAAACTTCTCTTCAACTGGTTTTTATATACACTGTAACGTTCCGCCTCCATGGTACGTTTGTTTGCGCCTGCGAACTCGGATGACAACGAGATAAGTAATTCTATTTATATCACTAAATTATATAATTTATTAAATATTTAATAGATTTTTAAATTTCAATTTTAAATGAAAAATTTAAGATTTTTTTATAAAATGTTGATTAGTTAGACAAAAATTAAAAAAAAAAATTTTTATTTTTTAAAAAAGTTTGAAATTTTTGGTAGAAATATATAAAATAAAATATATAAAATATAAAATCCGCAGATTTTTGAAATTTATTTAATAGAGAGAAAAGAATATAGAATCTTTTAGAATTTTTATAAAAAAAAATTTTTATTAGCAGAATGGAACTTGTAAAATTATTAAAATTTTATTCCATTAATTTTTTACTTACTATATTTTTGTATTTTAATTACTTATCATATTTTACTTTATGTTATGTTTTTATTCAATTTAGTTTAAACACTACAGTAAATCTATGTTTAAAAAATGTCGAATGTGAATTGATCTGAAAACTGATTATGTGATTCTAAATATTCAGATGAAAGTTTATATTTATCATTTATATATATTTTAAATGATTAAAATTTTTTAAACCATATTTCTACAACAAAGAAAAAATATTTCAGACAAAGAATATGTAATTTATGTATCTTGATAAAATTTATACTATATAATTTTTTTATTAAATCTTTTTTATTTATTATTTTTTTTATCATAAATCTTAGGGAAATATTTAAATTTCAATAGTTTCAAATTGCATATTTTAATTGCTTAAAAATAAATATTTTTCTGTTTTTTTATTCTTTTTCTATCTGAAATTTAAAAGACTATATAAATCATTTTATTAAAGTTTTATATTTTTTATATTTTATATTTTATTAAAATTATTATATTTCAAATAGTAATTAAATGATATTAAAAGTATGCAAATTAATTAACAATTTTATATAATTATTAAAATAACAGTTAAAATTTCTTTAAATTTTCAATATCATTTTTAAAATTTCAATTTCAGAATATGTATTTGAATTATAATACGTTGTAAAAATTACCAACATAAATAATTATATATTATAAAAGTCATGCGTTGTAAAATATTATATCAAAATTCTTGATAATATTGTACGTGCACTTATATGATATTAATGAAAAAAAAAAAAAAAAAAAAAAATGAAATATACAAAATAGCAATCTATATTCGTTTAGAAGAATTTATTATAGATTTCGAAATTTTTGAATACATACAAAAATGTATTTTAATGTTTTTTACAAAAATTTTTTTTTTCTTTTTATAATAATTTTGTTTGAAAAAAAAATTAAAAAATTTTTTCACTTCACATTATTTTTCTTTTTTGATCATTTAATTTTTAATTTTGTATTATTACAGGTGACAAGGATAGAAAATAAGTTATAAATAAAATAAATGGATAAATAAAACATAGTTAAATAAATACGTATATCGCTTAAAAATTACTTTAATAATAAAAATTAAAAATAATAAAATTACTTTAATTTAATTTTCACTATATATATTTGTTTGTTTTTCGATGTAAATCAACAAGTTATGTTAAAAGAGAAATCGAATACATTTCTTGTTGCATACTAAGTAAATTACTAGAGATTAGATAACGAAAATATAAAATATATATTTAAATTAAGAAATTGTTAAAAAATTATTTTTATCGACATATTTGTTTATTCATTCAATTTTCTTGATATTTTCGAATTATTATTATTAGCAAAGAAAAGATAGAAAAATATGAAAAAGAAATAAAAGAAGAAAAAAACAGAATTATCTTAAAATGCGATAAAATCACTTACCCATTGTGGGATCATCTAATTGCGATTCTATATCGATTTGACATTCTTCTGACTTCATGTTTTGTTCTTTCGGAGAGATTTGTTGTTCCTCTAAATCTCCCACTTCGATTTTCACTTCCGTCTGAAATCAAAATCGAAAAAAAATTAATATCTCAAACAAAAAGTTGTATGTAATGTTGGCCAATTTTTTTTTTATTTTTCGAAATATATAAATTCTCTTTTTCCTTATGTAATTATCATTGAAATGAAATTTAAACACATTGAATACTCTGCATTTATTTACAACGATAATTCTATAAATTCTTCAGTGCAAAAAAAATATTACATCAAATCACGAATTCATTTTATTTGTTTCATTTTATTTTATTTTGTATTTAAAAAATGAATAATTCGAAGGATAAATTTTATATATTGTACGTTTTCATTAAAAAAAATTTTTTTTTACAATTATAACTAATTTTCATACGATTGTACTTTTTTTCCATTTTCTTTCGTCCAAGCAAACTATAAAATTATCTTTTCCATTTATAAATATAATTTGATGATGAAATTATTATATAAGTAAAATGATAAAAAACAAAATTCAAAATATATATCGCAGGTAAATGAGTACTTACATAATAATTATGTTTTAGTATTAAGTTTGTCGTTTAACAAGAGAGTATTAGAAGGTGTTCAACGTTTTAAACCATAAATATCGGAGATCTAATCGGACGATGTTGCCTTTCACATAGCTATAGTACGACTGAATGTAATAGTATCCTTTTCTGATGTTACACCAGAATATAAAATGCTAATCATGCAAATATAAAGCAACGTATATATTGTATTTACGAATTAATATGCTCGAAAATAATATTTATTTCATATTTCTATATATATAAATATTTGATTTGTATAAAACATTCCTAATTTTTAATATTTCTTCTTTATCTTCTTTTGATTCATTGTTTAAAATTTTTTTTAGATAGATATCAATATGCTCTTCTAGTTGAGAAGTTAAAATTAAGAATATATTTAAAAATATTTTTTTTATTGATTTTTTTTTTTTTTTATAAAGAAGAAATAGAAAAAAAAACTTCTTTTTGAAAGATTTAACAAAAATTTATATTACGTATAATATGATATAATATTACATGATGATATAATATTGAATATAATGAATATTATATGAATATAAATTGAATAACTTCTTTTTTTTGAAAGAGTATAGAAATGCAGAATGTAGAATTATTCATTGGTGGTTAAACCAGTTTTGCCTTCTCGCCGATGAAAAGAATGTTGAAAAGTAAACAAGAAAATTTGCATATTATAGAAATAAAAGTAAAGGAAACGTAAACAATAAAGAAACGATATGAATAATATGAATAATAAAATTATTTTATCCAGGTAATAAATTTGTTAATATATCTAGATTTGAAATTATTATTATTATGTATTACTATTATGTATTATTACTGTATATTATATCATAAATTATATTTATAATTATTAACGTTATTTTGTTTATAGTTAAAAAAAATCTAATTGTGTTAATAAAAAATCTAATAAATAATTACTTTCAAATAAAATGAAATCGTGGATTCATCCAATTATAGTAAATAATAAACAGATGTTGTAAAAGTTTAAACATCGGAATACAATAATATTCAAACCTACGAACATGTCGAAAGGAAGAAATTTCAATAAGGTTTGCATATTCAACTGAATAGACTTTCAATCAAATAATACAAATAAATATAGAAGGAATAAGATTATTCTTTTGTTTATCAAAATTTTACGATATTTATACAATTTCAATTTGTTCCTCGAATTTTATCATTTTGTTAAGAATATATATAATAGTAAAACTTTTTTGCTTTATTTTGAAAATAATGTTGAAAGTAATGTTTTCAGCACCTTTTAAATAAACAAAATCATTATTTCATGAATCATATCAAAATATTATAAGTTAGTTCTTCGAATCTACAATAAAATATATACTCATCATTTTTTTATCTTTGTTAAACGTTTAATGATATTGAATAATGATATTTGTACTCACCATTTTTTATTTTTTTTATCTTATATTCTATCTCAAATATTTAATAATATTAAATAATGATATTTGAGTTATTCGTAAATCTTTTTAACAGATAAAGCACTGTAAACAATATGAAATGGCTGTTGAATTCAAACTGAATTGATAAAAATTTAACGCATGATAATTCCCACAATAATATATGCATCAAGTAAAAAAAATCGAGGTCGTTTTTATTTGAATAGAAAATACCGGCAGCCATATTTGATTGAATAATGTTCTTATATGGATAAATAATGAGCTATACTTTTTTTCTTTAAGTTATATAATATTATCAATCATTTTTTCTTTATAAAATCTAAAAATAAGAATTTTTTAATTACATGATATAATAAATAAAAAAACTTATTATTTACAAGATATTATTGCAATATCTTAAAATTGATAATATATAAAATAAAATGCATCTTTGACTTAAATGCAATTGAGAGAATACTAAGATATTGCATGTATCATGTTGCATTTAATCATACTTATTCAGTTTTTGATTTTTTAATAATATGAAGTAAATTATATAAATATATATTTTCGTATTTTTATTGATATTAATATTGATTTTCAATTATGAGAATCATTATAAAAAAAGATAATTCATGTCCAAACGAAGTCATGCAAATTAATAATTTTTTTTATAAATTAATCCTATCAATATTTATATATTGAATTATTTCTCATAAGAATTATCACTATTTGTATTTACATTTTATAAATATACATTTAAAAATTTATTATATTTGTAAATGTAAATGTAAATGTAAATTACTTAAGATAAATCTTAAATAGTTTGACATAATTTATTTTATAATAGTTTCTAATGCAATTATTATCAAACGGAACGAAAGTTTCCTTTAAATGGTTTTGTTACACTTTCCTTCTCAACTTTTTCCTTCTCACATTGTTTGTGAAATAGGTTCTCCATTAACTTTCTTCGAACTTTCTCTATAGATTCAGATGTATCCGGTTTTCTGCTCGTGTAAACTTAATATATGCGTTAATATATTATAATGTATGCGTAATCGAGAAAATGCGCAATTCCAAATGAATAATTATGTAACATACATATTAAAAAGAATTATTCTTT